AGAAAGAAGAGTAAAGGGTGCTTGAAAGAGCGGAGTCAGTAAAAGGGAATGGAACTTGGATGGTGTTTCATTGGTCAGCCAGGGCCTGCAAGAAGGGTTTCTACCTTATGGGAGGCCCAACAGCTACAACCGAAAAGAAGGGGGCCGAGAACATTCAATGCAGGGCTCCTGAATGTCCTGCCCAGATGTGGCTTGGAAACTTGAGAAGTCCAAGGAAAATGCAGTAACAAACTAGCAAAGACTGCTTCAAGTTATAAGAGAAGGTGCTAACTCTCCTACAAAAGAAGAAATTTAGAGAAGCTGAATCAAGTAGCAGACAGAGCCACCTGGATAGTACTTCTGATGCTATTTAAAAGAGGCAGGGGATCTGGGGTCGAACCTTCTCCTACGCTTCAGGAAAACGTGGAGACTCAGAACATGGTCATTGAAATCAATAGAGAAGATGCAGGAAGAATGGTTGACCCCTCTACTGAGAGTGAAGTCTAGAGAGTTGAGTAGGTACAAAGTAAAGTAGAACTGGGAATCATTGTCTTTTTTGGATGACCAGAAACCACAGCTTCCGAGAATGAGACCTCCTGAAGGTCACAGTGGTCATATAGTCTGAGATGTCAACCAAGCCCAAGACTAGCATATCCCAGATTCTTATCAAACATTTATGACTAATTTAAAAGCCAAACACATCCTAGACAAAGAGAAAGAGCAAATGTTCACACTGTCTTTTGGAAATACATGGTTCATTACCCCTCTATCCTAAAGACCAATTTATATGAACAAGGAGACGGGGATAGGAGCTGTATGGGAAAGACCAGATCTCCTGATCCTCCCATCATCATAAGTTTGAAACCATAGATAGCCACAAAGAGCTAGATGTAACCAAACATATCTGGCAATTTCACAGCCTACTTCTGCTGGTCTTCACCTTCTCTCTAGGCCAACCCCTCCCTAAAAGTCATGGCTAGGAAGTAACCCACCCTCTTAGCAATGCCAGCTCTTGCCCTTAGAAGCAATATTCCACTCATCACACTTTCCTTAAATCCCTGCCAGCCCATCAGGGCATGGGCCTGCTGACACTCAGCTCTTCCTGAAATTACCCCTTGGACTGCTTATCTGGCCCAACCAAACCTGGGGACAGAAATCGCCTAAATACCTGCCTTGCTTTCCACCCCTAAGTCAGTTACTCCTTCATGTTGAGCTTAAACACCCTTTTCTATTGACTAATCAGCCTATATTTGTCCTCAAGCTATTCTATTAGAGAAGTCTGAGATGGGAGAATGATCATATATTTTTTTTGATGTTCCACAGCTTAGGTGCACAGGCTGTTTAACAGCAGCAATGAGATCTTATGGAGACACTTTCACTCGTCGGTAAACACGCGTGCCTATGCACATACCTATATACACGCTGCTGCTGCTTCGCCTCCACTCCAAGTTTCCTAGCCCTGCATTAACGCAGTCCAGCTTGAATCTGCCACCATGGTCGCCAGCCACAGACCTGAGCAAGGAAGCAGCCAGGACTGGGGCTGAGTGTTTGTGGGAGCCGGGAAAGAGTAAGGACAGGGAGTGATTCCTGCCATGGGGATGCGGCAGAACGAGGCTGGCTATTGTTTGAGAAACATCTAAAGGCCTAAAAAGATGGGCAGGGCCTTCAAAAGCAGCTAACATTCTCAAGGCGCAGTAACCTGGGAGGGTCTGGCCAGGAAGGATTCCAAAGTCCACACAGGGTCCTGTAACTGCACTGCAGAGAGTTAGTGAAGACAGGTTCCTTACTGCAAGAAACGTCTCAGACGCAGGCATCACAGACATCAATGTAGTAGGAGAGATTTTTCTGTGTGATATTGTCACCTAGTTTTGTTGCATAATGGGCTCTTCCCTATTACAGGTGAAGCAGTCACCAACCTCCCTACACAGAGGTGGCGGGAGAAGATGGGACGGGCACGATGGGGGAAGAAAGCAAGGCTGGTCTCAGGAAACAAAGGCGAAAAAGGAGGCCAGCTCAAGGGAGCAGCCGGAGAGGGACAGGGAAAGCTAGAAGGGACGCTTTCCCCATTGACAGGATGCCTCTCGATTTTTCTAGATTAGGGAGGTAAATGAGTACAATTATTACATTTATCCTAAAGTGACAAAATGTGAAGCTTTGGCTCACAAGGATTTTAATGCCCATATGGTTCAAAGAAGAATGCCTGTTCCTGTCTGCACCATATGAAAGGAAGCCGAGGCGGTCCCTCAAACAGCCTTGTGAGTAGAAATCAGACACACCAGAAACAATACCCACAATTCAAAGGGACATCATTTTAATATTTGAAAGCAGCTTGACGTTCAGCTAATAGGCCAAACCCACTGCTTGTTTACAGCAGGCATCCATTCTGAGTGGATGGTGTCCGTCCTGTACCAGTTGTTAAATATTTTGAAAATCACCTGTGTATGAAAATAATTGTGGCTCTAAGAGAAGGGAAATATGAAAGAAATTCAGGATTCCTTCAATATCAAAGGTCCTTACAGTGAGCCTGGAATACACTAATATATTTTAAGAGTCTCAGGAATGCAAAATCCAATAAAGTTATATAGCCGACTCTTCACCTATGAAAGGAGAGCATACCAGGGGAATGTCCCACTCTAAGAAGATTTTTCAGGATTCCCTTGGTGCCGACATGCTTGCTAGTCACAGTCTGTGCACAAAGAAAGGGAAGGTCTATACACACTGGAGCCCAAACCCTTGATATTCAATGCAACAGAGAAGGGAAGAGAAAAACTATAAATGTAGCTGTAAACTAAATATGAAAATTAATCTCACCACTTACAGTTCATTTCCCAGTACATCTGAGAGCCAGAACATTTGTCAACCAACAGAAATCCATGACGATGAAGAAACCACATGGCTGAAGGTGGCTTTGGTCCACTGAGTTGAGGATGGTTTGCTACTAAGGCAGCTAAGGAAACATTATGTAAGCACTTGGCTCTCTCCAGGAATGGAATCAAATGTGTCCTCAAGAGACAGCAGCAAGACGGATGTTTCCACAACATGGCCAATCAAAACATCTTATCTCCCTTTCTACTCACAAACAACCATTATCAAACCTTTCCCAGATATCCGCAAAGCAGACACTTTGACAGATTTTCAGCCTAGGAAGTCCTTCCTAGCGTCTAAACTAACTCCTTCTGTAGCAATTTAAGTTGATCCTCAATGAAACTAAGAGAAGCTATTCATCCTCACTTACAATTATTGATTTCCCCCCTAGCCTTTTCCTGTCTCAGCTAAGTAACTCCAAGATCCCTCTTGGCCTTTCATTATCCAAAGGTTCTTGCTGAGTTATGCAGACTGCTGCTCGGGAATGAGGAAGACGCGCCCGGGTCAGAGGCGCCTTCTGGCTGCGGTGGTGGGCACTGCCAACGCCCAAGTCGCTGACCCTCCTAGTAGCAGACCCTCCTGAGAGCCTCTGGGTCTGACCAGCATCCCCCAGAGCAGGCAATCCATCCAACCGGAGAGCCTTCCCTTTTCTCTCTGCTCTGCCCCTACCCCCCGACCCCATCCTTTAGGAAGAGGGACCTCATGGAAGGAGTCCTCAGTGGCAGAATGGATCCATATGGCTTGGCAGGCCAGCGGAGAGTTTCCGAGAAAATGTCTGGAAAATGGGAAGCTGGGTCTTCAATGGTGGCAGTTTGAAGAGAAAGAGAAGGAAGAGGAGAAGTACCGACGGGAGGTGGCCTTCTGCTTCCGCATTCACCTCTGGTGACCGGCTGCTGGCATGGGGATAGCTGGATGCCCTCCAGCTCATACCGTGAAAAACTGAACGCTTTGGCATGGCTTTTACATGACCAAGGACAGGACCAGGCTTGGTCTTGCGTCTTCTCTGAGAGAGTCACCATCTTCTCTGTAACCAGAACTTCCCTGAGGCACCTCACAGCCCAAATCTTCCATCCCAGCAAAGACTTTTAGTTGAAGAGACTGAATAAAAGTGTTACAATTAGACAAAAAGGGAACACATGATTCATTCCTGCTTTTAACACAATACTTTGAAGATGTCACCACAATTTGGATCTGGCTATATTTTAAGTTCATTTACAAGTAGACTAGTTATCAACTAAAAATAACCATGTGCGTTATACATTTCGACAGCTGCCTGGATTTTCCTCTGAAGGAAACAAGATTCTATATTTTACTCACAGTCAGCACAGATTTACTTTAACCCATTCAATGAAGACATAACCCACCACTACCACCCACTGGTGGCTATGACTTTTCACAGTACTGTAATACCTTGGTTTGCGAGCGTAATTCGTTCCGGAAACAAATGACTCGTATTGCAAGACATCGCTCATTTACCACGTTAAAATGTATTAGAAATATTTGTTTGTCTTGTGGAACACTCGCAAACCACGTTACTCGCAATCCAAGGTTTTACTGTACTACTCTCTCTCCTCAGCAGCATTATGTGCGATGCAGTTAGTATTGTCCCCATTTTCCTGCTGAAGAAACCGAGAGCCAGTAACAGGGGCCTGGTGTGTTATACATGAAATTAATAATTAAACTACATCTCCTGATTTCTAACCTACTGCTTTTTTTTTTAACTAGAAAAGTTGCGTTTAATAAAACCTAAGATTTTGCCTTCAGTTATCTACCTACTTAAACTTAAACGGTGTTTGGACTAAATTATTCAGTTTGGGTGCAAAGGCAAAGGTGCCTCAACTCCTTCCATTTTTTCATTAACCTGATTTAAATTGATCTATGCTATTGGCAAATGATATACAGAATTTAGTTTTCAAATTAAGAAAACAGTTGCAACTTAATATTTCAAAAGCTTTACTTGGCAATAATTCTCATTATGGAACTGTATCAATGCTATCAACACTTTCCGAACATTTTAGCAATTTCCCATGTGTGTGGTTGCAATAACCAGAGAGATGCTCTACAGATTTTCAAATGGAAACTAGAAAGAGGATTAAGAGAACTAAGTAGATAAAGCAAATTTATATCCCCAAATAATTCCATCCTGACTTTGCACCTATGTAAATGGGTAGCTCAAAACAGCGTATCTGTTTCAAATAGTTAGAAAGCATTTTTACTTTTCTTAGGCTTATAGCTATTCTCATGGGACAGCAGCAGTCCTGGAAGTGATACTTATTAGATAAATTCCATTTTACAACTAAAATGTCTTTTACTTTCAACATGATTACTTTTTGTAAAAGTCATAAATAAATAAAAATTAGCAATTATAATTCTCTTTACCTCTTTTCCTTTGTATTTCCAGAATTCATACTGAGCGCTTTCCAGACTGTGGTTTTAGGCATTTCATCAGATATATTAATCTCAGAAGGGTCACATCTGAAATCAATACTTAGGACAGTAAATGTGAGACACACAAATAAAATACATATCTCAGTCTATAATGAATACCACCCGCTGGGAAAGATTAGGTCTGAGGGAGCTCAGCTAACAGCTGTCAGGAGGGTTAGGAACCAGATGGTCACAATGTAGAGAGGCAAAGTGATGCACGAGGTGGTGCTGAGGGCTTGGTGTGCCAGGTGGCAGCCAGCCCTGACCCCACAACTTCACACTCCTTCGAGGGGCCCCTCTGGGGATGCTGAGGGCAGCACTGTGATGCCAACAGTGGTAGTAGCATCAGGAGCTTTCGCTGTGTGCCAGGCATGGCACTAAGCACTCTTCATTCGTTTGCTCACTTACATGGTCAAATGTTTCCCTCTTTGTAGTTTACAAAGGATTTTTATAATATATTTTCTTAAATATCAGAGCATCAGAGAATGTTAACACGCTCATTTGAAGGTGCAGAAACCAAAGCTCCTAGGGCTAAGTGACCATCCAAGGTCAAATGTCACTAGGTGGAGAATCAAGACCTTGAATCCAGTCCTTGGACCCTGTAGTTTTCTACAAGCCAGACTGTCAAAGGCTGAAAGGGGAGGCAGCATCCCAGTAGAGGAGGAACATTGCTCCCATGTTGCCACCAGAGAATTCAAAGCCTATGGCTCCTTCCAGAACATGTAGAAAGTGTATTAAGGCCCAAAGATTCCATTTCATTGGGGTCAGTTAACAAAAAAGTCAAACTCAGAAAGTAGAATGGTGGTTACCAGAGACTAGGGGTTGGGGGTAGGGGAAAGGGAAAATATTGATCAAATGGTGCAAACTTTCAGTTACGAGATGAATAAATCTGAAGACCTAGGTCCGGCATGGTGACCATAGTTAATAGTATGTATTGTACACTTGAAATTTGCTAAGAAAGTAGATCTCAAGTATTCTCACCACACACACTAAAGAATGGTATTATAGGAGGTGATGCACATGTTATTAGTTTGGTTGTAGTAATCATTTCCCACTGTATACATATAGCAAAACATCACATTGTATACCTTACATATATACTATTTCTATTTGTCAAAAATAATAAATTTTTTAAAGACAAAGAAAAGACTTTCCTCATTTCCCACTCAGTATAAAACATAAACCACAATCAATTCAATGATTCAGCAATAAATTATCCAGTATCTGGATTACTCAGATCTCCTCTCTCTTCCTTTTCTGCCCCCTCTGAGTCTCTGGGTTTCTTTCAGCTTGTGTGTATCTCTTCCATAGTGAAAAATTCCAGGAATGAAACTGCAAATGGACTAATTTAGCTTCCTTGGACTTGTGAGCAATGGCTGCAGTAGAGGAAGGGGCTAAAATAATGGCAGAGTAAAGAATTTTTGTGATCCCAGTTCAGTCCCCCTTGGCTCCTAGGACTGTAGATGCCATGAGCTAAATTGGAATGCGCTGTCTCTGCTCCTCCCCAATGGCGTGCTCAAGCTTGGGAATTTCATGCCCACGAGGCTGAGAACTCTCAGGAAACGAAGACCATATCCTATTCATCTTTGGAAGTGGCTGAGAAAGGCAGAAGGAACACTAGTTTGAGGAATACAAAGACTAGGGTTTGAATCTTCAACATCCAATTTAGCAGCATTGTGACCATGGGAAAATTACCTACAACCCTCCAGGCTTCGGTTTCCTCACTGCACAAATGTGAGTAATGAGACTTAGGTCAGAGAGTTGGTGTAAAGACTGAATAAGAACACACAGTAAACCTTTTAGCACAGTCCTGGCAAGGAGAGGGCGCTCAGTACATGGGCTCCCTTACTCTGTCCTCTTGTGATTCCCAGCACCTGGTCTAGTGCCTGACACATGGCAGGTACTTCGTAAACCATAAAAGGAAACAGTGTTTTCACAGGTTGGAACTGGGAGGCTGAGTATTGGCTTTTTATACCAGCAGCTGCATGTGTGACAACTCCTGCCCCCAAGAAAGCCAGAATGTTTATGGAATAACCAAAACAGTAAACTTCTTGGTGTTTAGGGAGTTTTACCTGAAACTGTTGCTCTTTCCAGGACTACTTAGTAACTTCCGGCTCTCTAAAGAGAACTTGTCTCCTCCCATTTCTAGCATTTTCTCAGCCTCCTGGAAGAAAAAGAGACATTATTATATCTGGACCAAGTAAAACTGTGAGTCTATACCAGCCCTTTCTTTCTATAATCACAATTCCTATCTAATTTTTCTCACATTTATTATAAGAGTATAATTATGTTCTTTCATAGATTTGACTCAACACAAAAAAGAGACAAAGCAGATATTTGTACATGGAACAGTGTTTAAAAAATAAAAGAACCTGAACCTGACTAAGCCTCTAGGTCCAACTACCAATTTACTAGAAATATCAGGAAAAGAACATGTTCAATGGCACCAAGAAACACGTTTAGTAAAATCTAAATGGCGGGAAACCCTATAGATCAAAGACCCAGTTTCTTCAACAAAAAGAAAAAGAGATAGAAGGGGAACCCCTAAAGAGATTTAAGAAATATATCAACCAATTGTAATATATGGACCTTATTTGGATCCTGATTCAAATCGATTGCTAAAAATAATAAGTGGGGAAATATGAATACTGACTGTTCTTTCTACTTTTGTATATGTTTGAAATGTTTCATAATAAAATGTTTTCTTAAAAAATAATGCCATTAATTTAAAGAAAATAATTACAAAGGAAAAAATATGTACAAAAATACTGAAAGTAGTATAATTAATAATAAAACCAAAAACGACTATACATTTTAAGAAAGGATGTTTAAATTGAGATAAAATACTATAGAATATTATGCAGCCATTAAAAGTGATTATCATATATACATAAAGAAACATAAAAGTGTCTTATGAAATCAAGTTGAGGATAAAAAAAATCAGAATATATACATATACATATATACATATATATGTGTATATATACATATATATATGTGTGTATATATACACCTTCACACACAAATATACAGCTATCACAGTTAAATGAAAACTACGGTAAGGATTTAAATAGAACATAAAAAAATTGAACATAGGGGCGACTGGTTAGCTCAGGTGGTTAGAGCGCAGGCTCATACCCCCAAGGTTGCTGGTTTGACTCCCACATGGGCCAAGGAACTGCGCCCTCCACAACTGGATTGAAGACAACTACTTGACTTGGAGCTTATGGGTCCTGGAAAAACACACTGTTCCCCAATAAAGATTTTTTTTTAATTGACCATAAATGTTGGATGCTGATGTGAAAATTTGGGGTAAAGTATTCATTTTTTCTTTCATTTCATTTAGTTTTTAAAATAATTTTATAAAGTAATTTTAAACATCAGAAATTTTGGAAAATAGTATAATGTTTACCAGCCACCTCAAACTTAACATCCAAAAGAGATCAGATCCCTTGATTTTCCTCCCAAACCTGCTGTTCCTAGATCTCCCCCATCTTAATAAATAGCACAGCCATTTATCCAATTGTTCACTCCAAAAATCTAAGAGTCGTCCTTGATTCCTCTCTTTCACCCATGCTCACTGTGCATTAGCAAAACCTGTTGGCTCCATCTTCAAAATAAGTCCCACACCCAGCCACTTTCACCACCTCTCCCTCAGCCTAAGCCACCATCACTTCTTGCCTGAACTACTGCCACAGACTTCTAACTAGTTTCCTGGCTACCTCTCTCCCGCTTCCAGCCTCACTGGTTTTTTTAATGTTACTCAAGTATACCAAGCTCTTTCCTGCCTCAAGACCTTTGCATTTTCTGTTTCCCTGGCCTGGAATGTTCCTACTCCCAGATATTCTCATGACTTGCCCTTCATTTTATTCAAGTTTCTGCTGAGATATCTCCTTAGAGGAGTCATTCCTGATCACCCTAAATAAAGTAACTCCCTCACCCCCTTACTTTCTTCTTAAACCATATCACTACCTAACATTTTATATAAATAAATGTGTGTATATGTGTGTGTGTGATTTTAAAATTTTGTTTATAGAGTTTTTAGATGCCTGAAAGCTTCACATTTTATGTAGTGAATTCTATCAATCTTCACTTTAAAATTTTCCTCTGTTGCTTTTGTGCCTATTATTGTTAAAGCTTATTTAATAATACAAAACAGACATATAGACCAATGGAACAAAATTGGGAGCCCGGGAATGAACCCATGCATATACAACCAACTAATATTTGACAAGGGAGCCAAGAATACTCAACAGAGAAAGGACAGTCTCTTCAATAAATCTTGCTGGGAAAGTGATATTCACATGCAAAAGAATGAAACTGGATCCCTATTTTAGACCATTCACAAAAATTAACTTGAAATGGATTAAAAACTTAAATGTAAGACCTGTAGCTATTAAACACCTAGAAAAAAACATAGGGAAAAAGCTCTTTGACACTGGTTTTGGCAATGGTTTTTTTGGATTTGACACCAAAACACAAGCAACAAAAGCAAAAATAAACAAGTGGGACTACGTCAAACAAAAAGCTTCTGCACAGCCAAAGAAATGATCAACAAAATAAAGAGCAACCTATGAAATGAGAAATAATATTTGCAAACCACATACCTAATAAAGAGTTAATATCCAAAATATACAAAGAACACATACAACTCAATAGCAAAATAATAATGACAATAATAATAGTAATCCAATTAAAAAATAGGAAAAGGCCCTGCATAGACATTTTTCCTAAGAAGACATACAAATGACCAACAGGTTCATAAAAAGATGCTCAACATCACTAATCATCAGAAAAATGCAAATCAAAACCATAGTGAGATATCACCTCACACCTGTTAAGATGGCTATTATAAAAAAGACAAGAGATAACAAATGTTGGTGAGGATGTGGAGAAAAGGGAACCCTCATACACTGCTGGTGGGAATGTAAACTGGTACAGCTGCTATGGAAAACAACATGGAGGTTCCTCAAAATAATTACAAATAGAACTACCAAACAGATCCAATAATTCCTCTTCTGGGCATATATCCAAAGGAAATGAAATGATTATCTCAAAGCAATATCTGTACCCCCATGTTCATTGCAGCCTTATTTACAATTTTACAATAGCCAAAACATGGAAACAACCTAAGTGTCCATCAATAGGTGAATGGATAAAGAAAAGGTCATATACACACACACACTACTCAGCCATAAAAAAGAAGGAAATCCTGCCATTTGCAACAACATGAATGAACCTTGAGGGTATTATGCTAAGTGAATAAGTCAAACAGAGAAAAATAAATAGTGTATGATCTCATTTACATGTGGAATCTAAAACTGAAGTCATAGAAACAGAACAGATTGGTGGTTGCCAGGGTTGGGGGTGGGGTGGGGGAAATGGTGAAGGTGGTTAAAGTATACAAACTCTCAGTTATAAGATAAATAAGTTCTGGGGATGTAATGTACAACATGATGACTATAGTTAACAATACTGTATTATATATTTGAAAGTTGCTAAGAGAGTAGATTTTAAAAGTTCTCACCACAAAAAGAAAATTGTGACTATGTGAGGTGATGGATGTGTTAACTAATCCTATTGTGGTAATCATTTTTCAACATACAGAAGGTGCCAAAAACATGTATACACATTTTAAGAAAGGAAAAAACTGTAATAAAATTGTAATACTCAATATATACCGATAACAAAAGATGAATACAAGTTACATTTGACTTCTGCAATTACATGAGGTGCTCAAAGTGGTTACCATAAGTGTAATTTTAATATAGTTTTTTCCTTTCTTAAAACATGTATACATTTTTTTGGCACCCTCTGTATACATACATTAAGTCATTTCATTGTATATCTTAAACTGACACAATGTTATATGTCAATTACATCTCAATAAGACTGGAAAAAATAATACAAGATTTAAAAAGTTCAAGATATTAGAAAAAAATCCTTTAAAATGCATTTCAAGGGACACGATTTCAGGCATTAACTGTATTTGGAAACACTTTCCAGCTCATGCATTTCTTGGTTTGGTATTTTCATTTTGCTACACATTCATTCTTTGCATGTATCGACTAATGATTGAGGGTCCATTGTTTGGATGGCAGATGCCAAGTGCTGAGGGAAACGAGGAAGGACAGAAAGTCCCATGCAAGTTATCTTTGCATGGTGCCAGTCACAACATCATCTGCAATTAGGTACATAACAAATATTCTGAGAAAATAACAGGTTTTGTATGCTTGGCAAATTAGACCTTTGGGGAGAACGTGAACCATTAGATCTGGTAATAAGAGGAGATTCTATGTTCGTATTCTAAGTGTGAACCTGGTGAATAAATTGTAGATAAAACAAAGTGGGGAAAACTGGTTATCAAATCTAAAAATGAAGGACAGACAGGGACAGAATCCTTAATCCTTTCTTAGCTGAGAACAGCTTTGGAGGAACCTTCCCAGCTCCTAAATAGAACCCTTGAGATTCCAGACATGCTGACTTTTCACGTGGCCCTTCCTACGTTCTGTAACTTGAGGCTGCCCCAAAGTGTACAGTTGGTGCAAGAACCATAACCTCTTCCTCCTTGGCCTTCTTTTTGGCATCATCCAACTTCTTCTTTTTGCTTTCAGGCATGAGATCATCTAACCAGCTCAGCTCTCGCTTAGAGAAACAGAGATCCATGACTTTCCTGACAAAGACCAAGGCCAAAACCTGAAGAAAAACAAAGAAAGTGGATTAAGAGGGCTC